AACAACGGGAGCGGGAGCGGGAGCGGGAACGGGAACGGGAACGGGAACGGGAACGGATCCCTGGGGCGTTCTCTTTTTTTCACGGGGGTCCCCCCCGCTCGGTTCAGGGGGGGGGGGGACACGCAGACACGAGTCATCGCCGACCCCGAGGAAAATGCGGGAAAATAGGGGCAGTGGGGGGGAAGACGAAACTCCAGAAAATGTAGGAAAACACTGGGAGTCCTGTTTTTCGTGTGTGTGTGTGTGTATCTATTTGTGTGTGTCCTGGGGCCCCTTTGATCGGTGCTCCACCACACGAGGGCGCGGGTGCGCGGGGGTCTCGGGGAGGGGGGGGGGGAGGGGCTTCCGCAGGGGTCCCCGGGTCGGCCTCCGCCTGCGCTCTTTTCTTGGGCGGGGTCAGAGCAGATCCCCCGCGGGCGGTCTCCGCGGGCCTCGCGGCGCGCGCCAGCGGGCGACGGCCGCCTGGGACTCTGGCCCCAAGCCCCAAGGCTTGTGGAGGACGATCAGTGGAGAGGAAGCATGTTGCCAAATACTTTCCAGATATTTAATACATGTGTTAAACATGCTTTAAACATTCAGCAACACATGTTTCAAACATGTTTAGACCATTTGCCCGACATGTTTAACACACTTTAAGTTCAAGGATAGGGCTGTTAGGGTGTCCATTGCCGTGGCATCCACAAAGCAAGGCTCTGTGGGCGTCGCAAGAGCGACGCCTGGCCTCCTCGAGGCCGTGGGCGGGGGCGGCTTCCCCAGCCGACGTCTCCTTCCGGATGCTTCACGGGGTCCGCTGGGCGCCGATGTCGTCGCTGGAGCTTCGCGCCGACGTCGGCGCGGGGATCGGCCGGCATGCCCGGGAAGCTCGCCGAGGCAGGGGCTGGCCGCGCGTCGGAGATAGGAGGGCGCTCGAACCCGTTTCCTCGCCCCAGGTGTTCCCTGCTTTTGGGGCCGCGCGCTCCTGGTCGCGTTCCGGGCAGGGCAGCGTCTGGTCTGAGAGGCGGCAGGGCGCCTTTCGGCCCGTTCCCCCCCTGGCCCCCTGGGCGGCGCCGGGCCCGCTTGCACAGACAGAATGTGGCGGCCAGTCCTGCGCGCACTCTGCGCGGGAGCCTCGATGGCGCCATGCGGCACCGCTGCCATGAGCGCGACGCTCCGGCCGGCCGCGGGAGATGCCCAGTTTTGCCGGGCTTGCCCCGCCGCGCACGTCGCCCCCAGGGAAATCTGCGCGAGAGGCACTTGCCCATATCCCCTCCCCCCGCGCACCTTCGACCCCCTCAGCAGACAGCCCGTTGGCACCGTCGACCAGCCGTCGGTCTCCTAACGGTCATGTTGTTCTCGGATGGGGCTTGTTTCTGGTCTAGTGTACCCGAGCTTGCCAGAACTGACAGTGATGCGTGACCCATACAGTCAGGCAGCTGCTGCGGCCTGCGGGCCTGCGCCTACAGAGTCCGCGCCGCGCCAGACGGCGCGGGACGGGAAGGTTTTGCTACCCACGTGATGACTCAAGTAGCGATGGCGCCCTTCCAAGCTTACTGTGGTTGCAAGGATACGGTTCGGACCTTGCTTAAGGACCTTGGTGTTGGGTCGGGTTCGGACACTACCAGTGCCCACATGTGGGTTCCCTTTTAGGCCTCTTTCTCCCCGGAGGAGTTCAAGGCCCACAAGACCAAGGCCCACTGCAGCATGAGGGACGTTTATAACGGAGAGACCACGACGCGGCAGACGAGTTCGCTAAGCAGGGCGGCCTTTTACACGGAGTTAAGGATGAGAGCTCTCATTTTTGGCGAGGGCTCACGGGGCTTTGTCGCGAGGCTGCCCAGTGGACGGGGGAGGTTCACTCGTCGGTGGGGGAGGGGGTGGTTGGGCGGGATCACGACGACCTTGGAGAGCTCGAGGAGGCGCCAGGCGAGGCTGTGGAAGCCCATCCTGAGGAGCCCCCCTCAGGGCCTCCCGACCTGCCGCCATTGCCCCTTACTCGCCCAGCTGACGGCTGGGGCGACTACGCGGAGATGGGCCACAATTTCAACAGCCACCCTCTGTTGCATGCGCGGGCCACGGCGCGCGACACACGCGGAGATGATCGAGCGATGGTTTTTGGTGTTGCGCCTGCGGGACCTACTTCACGGGTTCCAAACCCGACGAGGGCTGTGCCGCGGCCTTGCCTGCGGGATAACGCAGGATCAGCTCCGACGTCTTAGGGCGAGGAGATGACCGTCGCATAAGGTTGGGGAAGTCGGTCAATGGAGAGGACGCATGCTGCGAAATAATTCCCAGATGTCTACAACATGTTGGAACAACATGTTGTAAGCATGTAAACGCATGTTTAGAATTACCCCAGTGCGACCCTACCTAGAAGTTGGAGCCCCTAGGGAAGCAGCATTAGCTGCTATACTATGCTATGCTATGCCATGAAATGTTGCGCTATGTTATGATATGCTATGCGAAGCTATGCTATGTCATGCTGCGCTGTGCTATGTTAAGCTATGATTTGATATGATATGCTAAGCTGCGCTATGATATGCGTTGCTGTGCTATGCTATGCTATGCTAGGATATAATGCGCTATGATATGAGATGGTTTGATATGTTATGCTATGATATGGTATGCTAATGCAGCGCTATGCTAAGCTAAGCTAAGCTAAGCTAAACTAAACTAAGCTAAGCTAACCCTCTAGGCAGAGCCTGGGTATGGAGTTACACCTATGCTATGCTACGCTATGATATGATGTGCTCTGCTATGCTAAAGCTCAACGAAGCTAAGATGAAGCTAAGCTAAGCTAAGATAATCCTGAGCTAAGCTAAGCTATGATGAAATAAGCTAAGATAAGGTGAGATGAGCAACGCTAAGCTAAGGGGACGTAACTGGGGGAACCGCGGGGCGGATCCTGGGGGAACCGCCCGGGGCGATTTCCACTGCCCGGCCCCTTCAAGCTAACACAGTAAGAACCCTTCTAGGCAGAGCCTAGGTAGGGAACATGTGTTGAACAGTTCTCCGACATGTTACGCACATTTTGAATTCAAGGATCGGACTGTTAGGGTGCCCACTGCCGTGGCATCCACGAGCACAAGGCAGGCTTGAAGGCCCTCGTGTTGGACTCGCCAGCCAGCGTGCCGGGTCCGAGGTCCGCACGCGTTTGGCGCAGGTTTTGGCCCCCGAGGTGTTTGCCCGGGGTGGCCCGTCACCGGGGTGAGGGGGGGGGGGGGAGGGGGGGAGGGGGAGCGAGGGGGGGAGGGGGAGCGAGGGGAGGGGGGGGAGGGGGGGAGGGGAGCGAGGGGGGGAAGGGGGGGAGGGGGGGGGGGGGGGGGGGGGGGGGTGGGGGGGGGGGGGGGGCGGGGAGGGGGGGGGGGTGTGTGGAGAACAGCGGGTGCTGGTCCACGAACGGGCGCGCCATGGTTTACACGTCGCTGCTTTCGGACTCCGCGTCGCCCTCCGGACAGCCCTCGGCGACGGCAGTCAGATAGTTTTCCAGCTCGGCCCTGGAGGCCGGCAGAAGCCAGAGTGGGCCCCAACGAGGCCTGGGTGCGACCCCCAGGGCCGCCCTGAGAAGATCATCGGCCGCCTCGGCCAGCCGGAACTCCCGGGAGTGAATGCTGGAAGCCAGGCTGCGGCCTCCGCGGGACCTGCGGCCGCCGCGGGCCACCATGAGAAGAGCAGGAGGGAGATATGTCTTCCACCTCTCACTTGAGCCAATCGGCAGTGCCACAAAACTACTGGGAGGCATCCGCATGCAGGCGTAGTGTCGCACTGCATGTGGATGACCTCCCTCCCTCCCACCCTCCCGGGTTCATGCGGGCGTAGAGGCGCACCGCATTCCCTTGAGAGGCGCAAGCATGCACGCATGTACAATACTTGCCTCGCGCTGCTGCTGGCGACCCGGCCGCCGGTGACCCTTTTGAGGTCGCCGGAGGCCGTCGGAGGTCACCGGCCAGAGATCCCTGGCCAACAAACATCGGTGCCCTTTTGGAGGCCGCTTGGGGCCGAAAAAGGGCACCGGCCAAAAGTTATCACATGGGGCTACGGGCCTGGGCCCAGAGCTCAATGCCGTGCTTTGCAAGGCTTCCCGCACCGCACCACACGAAACGGAGTTCAAACTGTTACGGACACTCGGGGAGCCGACCAGCTGAAACGGACACTCGGGGAAACGACCGTGCGAAGCGCCACGAATTGACCAGGCAGGCCCCGCACCGCAAGAGACCTAATTCAGCTCCGCTCCGTCCCCCACACACGCTGCTCCTCGGGAGGCGCGGCGGGCGGCTGCGACCTTCCGCACTCGCGCCGGCTCAGCCCGGCGCAGCGTGGGGGCATACGCTCAGCCCCTTTCAAAAATTACGTCCAAAGCTATAGCTCAGCATATTCGCCTGGCACTTGGCGAAGTAGACAACAGCCATGCTCAACTCATAGCGCGCGCAAGCCGAAATGCCCACGCACCCGGGAAGTATGCGGAACACCACCCGCCTTGGTCAAGCCGTCGGCGCGCCTTTCAGCGGTCGCGACGTGCAGCGATTTCAGGAGCCCCCTCTCCAGCCGGCTTTGGATTGCCCCAACCTCGGTCGACAGCGCACGCGTCCTCCAGGCCCCCAGGGGGGGCCCGCGCCTGGCCCTGGCCCCCCCTCGCCCCCACGGCTCTGGGGGCCCTGCGGCGGCCTCAGGAGGCCCCCCGCCCCGTCCGCGGGCGCCGCGGGGCCTGCCCCCGCAGCTGGGCCGAGGGCGCGCACGCCCCGCGGGCCGCCGACCCCACGGAGGCCGACCTCCGTGCGGTGCGGGCACCGGGGAGGCGCCTCTGCGCAGAGGACCCACCGGGAGTGTTGTCTGGCACCTCGGCTCTCTCCAAAGGAGGCTGAGGGAAGCCACGAAGCGCTTTCAGGGCTCTTTCTCATCTCATTCCGTCATCACCACCTCCTCCGCCTCCTCCTCCTCCGCCTCCTCCCTTGATCCGTCCTCGTCACTCCTTTCTCCTCCCCCCACTCCGCGCCCTGCCCCCCCTCAGCCCAGCCCGCGCCCAGGCCAGGGCGGCGCCCGTGTCCGTGAAGCTGCGGGAGAGGCCCAGCACGGGCGGGAGCGCCACAGGCTGGGCCCCCTGCAGCCAAGAGGGCGAGGCGGAGCAGCAGTGGGGGGAGGAGAAGGAGGCAGGGTGGGCCCAGGACGAGGATAGATCCGTTCCAGCGCGTTCCGGAACGCTCTGGGTCCGGAACGAGGAGGAAGAGATGGGAAGAGGAGCAGGAGGAGGAGGAGGAGGAGGAGGAGGAGGAGGAGGAGGAGGAGGAGGAGGAGGAGGAGGAGGAGGTGGAGGTGGAGGAGGTGGAGGAGGAAGGAGGAGGAGGAGGAGGAGGAAGGAGGAGGGAAGAGGAGGACGACGACGAGGAGGACGACGACGAGGACGACGAAGAGGACGACGACGAGGATGAGATGGAGGTAGCGACGAGGAGGAGGAGGAGGAGGAGGAGGAGGAGGAAGACCTCACAGGTGAAGGCGGTCCATTGGCGGCTACTGGCGTGATGCTGACGAGCCTTGGTCCGCCAGCCACGCGCCAGGAGGACGAGGAGCACGATGAGGAGGAGGAGGTCGACGAGGAGGAGGAGGACAACGACGAGGAGGAGGAGAGGGGAGGAGGAAGAGGGCGACGACGAAGAGTTGAGACAGGGTGATGAAGTGCAGCAGCAGAGAGTCGGAAAAGGAGATTGGAGAAAACGAAGACGAACAGGTCTATGAGGAGCAGGAAGACAAGCAGCAGATAGGAGGAGGACGAGAAGGAGGACCAGGAAGAAAAGGAGGAGGAGGGGGAGGAGGAGGAGGAGGCGGAGGAGGAGGAGGAGGAGGAGGAGGAGGCGGAGGAGGAGGAGGAGGAGGAGGAGGGGGAGGAGGGATTCGTCTTGCATGATTATGGCGTCGTTCGTTATGCTCGGCCTCCTGGAGGGTCCGCGTAGCCACGCCACGGCCGCATTCGCGTTGAAAGCATGGCTAGAGCGCACCCCGAAGGGGGGGGGGGGGGGGGAAGGAAGCGAGCAGGGAGGAAGAGGGGGAGAAGACGCTTGCGGCGAGAGCTTCTTCCAGTTGCGCAGTTGCTTGGGTACCCCCGTGCCTGTCTCTCTGAGCCACAGTGCCGCAGAGTAACGCTGGGGATCCCAAAGAGAACGCGGGGGTACAACGCACTGGTGCGCCAGGCCCTCGGCGGTTGGACAGAAAAAACGGGTCGCGAAGGAATGGCCAGGAAGCACCTCTCCCGAGTAGAAAGCTGAAGCTCTGTACAAAAGGCAAGGCTCCTGGTCTGTCAACATGGGAAGACGCAGAAGGCGACGGCCGTATCACTCAAATTGCATGGCTGGCACGCGCGTTGCAAGGACAAGAACGGTCATGCCAGGCAGCACGGCTCAACGTTTCGAGCTCGAAATCATATTGGTTCTGTCATTTGCAGGGTCAACGTGGTGAAGAGGCAGCCTTGGAAGCCGTACAACAAGCACCACAAGGCTTCGTAATGGCCTATGACCGCACTGGCACTGCAAGACCATGATACGTGTCGTGAGACATTCACCATCATCACCATGGCCACGGTACGGTACAGTACGGTACGGTGGCAAGAGCACGCGGTGTCGGTATACGGCCAGCACTGTCCGGTTAGGACCGCTGGTACCGGTAGCGCCGGTACGGTATCAGCCTAGGCTCCCACGGGACCGGTGCCGGTATACGGTCGCAGGACCACGCGGTACCGGTACGGTTGTGGGATTACGTGGCCGTCGTCGTCGCCGTCCTCGTCCTCGTCCTCGTCGTCGTCGTCGTCGTCGTCGTCGTCGTCGTCGTCGTCGTCGTCGTCGTCGTCGTCGTCCGTCGTCGTCGCTGACCATCTGACCCTCTGAGGGGGTGGTCACAGGTGCCGGGGGTGTCCGGGACCCAGGGGGTCCTGGGACTCGGGGGGTCTGGGGATTCGGGGGGTTCCGGGACCTCGGGGGCCCCGGGACCCAGGACCCAGGGGGGTCCCGGGACCCGGGTGGGTCCCGGGACCTGGGAGGTCCCAGAATCCGGGGGGTCCCCGGGCCCGGGGGGCCGCCGGGGGGTCCCGCGATCCGGGGGATCCCGAGAGGGTCTCGGATCTTGGAGCCTGTTTTTTTGGATTCAGGCAAGTTTACTTGCATGACGTTCGCCCCCCCCCCCACCCCCCCCCTCGCCCCTCTTCAAGCGAATACTAGCGTGCAAGTGCCTTTCGACTTGCGTGATTTCCGCGCCCCCCCCCCTCCCGGGCTTGCTTCAGGCTCAGCCCCCCCCCCCCGTTCATGCAAGTAAACTTGCCAGAGTCTAAAAAAATACAGGCTTTGGGGGGTCTCGGGAGCCAGGGAGCCCGGGGATTTGAGAGGGTCCCCAGACCCGGGGAAGGTCGCAGGGACCGGGATAGTCTCGGGGAGTGGGCGGGGGATCTTGGGACCCGGGACCCGGGAGGGATCCAAGGGATCGGGGGGTCCCGGGACCTGGGGGGTCCCGGGGGTCCGGTCGCAGGCACCGGGGGGGGGTTCCAGGGGGTGGGGGGGGGATCCTGGCACTGGGGAGGGGTCCTTGGTCCCGGGACCCGGGACCGGCGAGGTATACGGGATCGTCCGGTGCAGAAGCCGCGGCCTGCACGGTCCGGTACGGTGGTTGTGACCAGCACGATATCGTCCGGTGCGGAGGCTTGTGCGGTATCGATCGGTACGGTTGCCACGGCCGCGGTTGGCGCGGTACGGTACGAGCCAGTACCGGTTGGCCGGCATCCGGCACGGTAGTGGCCATCATGCAGCATCGAAGATGTGTTCACTGCAAGAATTATTGCGAAGCGACAGCCCGACTACAACAGCCTCGAAACCGACCAAGCGTGCTGGATTCTGAGACGCACTGTATGCCACTCCCTGACTGACTGGCCCAGAGCCGCTCGTTGCTGTGCAGCACTGGCCCTGCAGTGGAGAAGGGAAAGTGAAATCGAGAGGAAGATAGAGAGGGAGGAGGAGGAGGAGGAGGAGGAGGAGGAGGCGGACGACGACGACGACGAGAAGGAGGGGGAGGAGGTGTAGTTGGACGAGGGCGAGGAGGAGGAGGAGAAGGAGGAAGAGGAGGAGGACGACAACGATTACGACGAGGACGAGGACAACGACGAGGTCGAGGAAGAGGCCGAGGACGAAGACGAGGACGAGGAGGAGCAGGCAGCGAAGAGGGGGACGAGGAGGTGGAGGAGGAGGCAGCAAGGAGAACAATGCAGGGAGGAGGAGGAGGAGGAGGAGGAGGAGGAGGAGGAGGAGCAGGATTGGGAGCAGTAGCCAGGGAGGCCTCCCAGCGCCCCGGCTCCCTCGCCTGCCCCCAGCGCCGCTTTCGCCCGGGCCCGTAGGATCCACCCGGGACACCGAGGCCGGCAGCCCGGCAAAGTCCGCCGAGGACGCCGCAGCCGCGCCAGTCCCCACGATGTGATCTTCTCGGTCGCGGCGCTCTTCCCCCATCTTGGGCCTGGCCCCTTCTCTTTCGGGAGGGGGACACAAACACACGGACACAAAGAGTCGTCGACTCCCAGGAGAACGTCGGAAGATGTGAGAGGTGGGGGGGAGGAAGACGAAAACCCAGAACATGCTTGAAAAACGGCTCCCAGAAACCGAAAGGAAAAAACGTCAGCTCTTCCTTGCCTTCTCGGCGTCGTTGCGCTCCTGGCCGAAGGCTGCCCTGGGCACTCCAACACCTGGAGACTTGTGGTTCATGGGTTTTCTGCAGTTTGTTCCCTACCTAGGCTCTGCCTAGAAGGGTTCTTACTCTCTGGGCTTAAAGGGCCGGGCAGTGGAAAGCGCCCCGGGCGGTTCCCCCAGTATCCGCCCCGCGGTTCCCCCAGTTACGTCCCCTTAGCTTAGCGTTGCTTATCTCATCTTAGTTTAGCTTATTTCATATTAGCTTAGCTTAGCTTCATCTGAACGCAGGTTTATATTAGCTTAGCCTACCTTAGCTTAGTTTAGCATAGCGCAGCGCTGCATTGGCATAGCATAGCATAGCATAGCATAGCATGGCATATCAGTTCATATCATAGCATAACATAGCATATCATATCATATCATAGCGCAGCATATCACAGTGTAGCGTAGCATAGCATAGCATAGCATAGCGCAGCTTAGCATAGCATAGCATAGCTTAGATTAGCTTCACATAGCGCAGATAGCATAGCACCTCATATCATAACATGTCATAGCATATCATAGCATAACGCAACATAGCATAGCATATCATAGCATAGCATAGCGCAGCATAGCATGGCTTCCTAGGGGCTCCAACTCCTACGTAGGGTCGCACTGGGGTAATTTTAATGTGCATATATAAAAAACTGAAAAGGAAAGAAGAAGAAACCAAACAAAAAAAAACGCTCTGGGACTTGCACCGCAACTACAGCCGAAACGATGTGGCGGAGCCAAGAACGAAAGCGGCCTCGTCGCCTCCAGGGGCCACCGAACCCTCGCCGCCAGCCGGCCACGTGCAGAGGGCGGCAGGGGGAGGGGGATCGTTGCTCAGAGGCTTAAAAGCACCCCTGCTCTTGAGAAGGCTCGGGCCTTGCCTGCAGACGCAGGGCCGGCGCCTTCCAAGAAGCAGCCTCCTTCCACGAAGCCTCCCCCCCTTCCCCCTTTTTCTTCCGGACCCTCCGCCCAAACCTCCCGCCCCTTTTCCGATGTGATCCGTATGTGGGTTTCCTGGAACTGCATACGGCTTCCAGGAGTGTCGACGAATTCTTCCGCACCTCCCGCGGAGGCCGGAAGGTATGGAAGCTGGAGGAGGGGGGTCCCCCTAGCCCCCTTGTTCGGGGAACGAAGAATGACAGAAGCATAAAAACTCGGAGGTCCGTGCGGATTTCTCGGATCGGCGCCGGAGCCCCCTGGTGCGCTCCGCGTGCCAGGGAGGGGGGTCCAGCGCGGATCCAAGAAATCCGCGCGGGAGCGCCAAAAGTTTATGCTCATGGCGTTGTCTCTTCTTACAGAAGGGGGTCCCCTAATCTCAGTATCGTTTAACCGACCCTCATCCCTATCCTCATCCCCTTCGAGACCCCCACCAAATTACCACCCCAGGTTTGGATTTCACCCCTCGAAACCCGAAGGGAACGGCCCATATATCCCCATCCAGTCGGCCCAGATTAGCAGGTCGACCCTGCCAAATCAAGGGTACCCTTGTGTCCTGTGCCTCGCGACCCATACCTCCTACACTCCTGTGGCAATCTGGCCCTCGGAGGGGTCTTGTGCCCTCTCGCGTGTCCTGTCCATTCGAGCCCGACTGCGAACGATGCTCACAGCCCCCCTGTTAAAACAGGGCTAGGATCGGGATAAATCGCTCCAGAGCGTTCTGGAGCGCTCTCAGAGCGTTCCGGAACGCTCTGGAGCGGCCGCGGCGCCCAATACATCCTCCAAACCCGCCGATTCTCAGAGATTCCGGGTTATCCCGATCCGATGTTGTCCCGATCTTCGCGTCGTTTTAGTCTTGTGTCCTCTCGCGTGTCCTGTCCGTTCGAGTCCGACTGCAAACGATGCTCACAGCCCCTAGGACCTCCAGGAGTGGCAGGACTCGGACTCGGACCTCAACGCCCCCCGCCCCGCGGCCGCCGCCGAGGCGCCCGCTCCCGCCGATTCGGCGCGGCGGGGGCCGCCGGGATGCGGTGGCGCCATGCTGGCCTTGCCACGGGGGCTTTCGGTTCGGCACGCACGGAATGGGTACTGAAAGAATGGGTACCATGCCCAACAGCGGACCTTGTTCATTTTGAACAGGACTCGCTGTCCGCGCCGCCGCGGCCAGTGTCCATTCGAGACAGAAGGCCGCCTGCCCAACAGCGGCCGCTGTTGGCTTGGGACAACATTTGTTGTTGGGCATTGTACCCATTCTTTCGGTACCCATGTCGGGTGTCCAAAACGGGGGCTTTCGGTGGAGCTGTCTACAGTCAGGGCCCTGAAGAAGGAGCCCTTTTCGTTGGGAAGGGGCTCCGCGTTCCTGAAGTGTTTCACAGCTTGCCTCAGGCTTGCCTTATGTTCTCGACCGGAAATCGGAGGTTCACTTGTGGAAAAAAGGGGCCTCGTTCCTTATGTAGGGCTCCTCAGGTCAACGCCCCGACTGTATGGGACCACGAAACGTGTGAGCGGCGTGCCGACGTGGGTGCGGTGGCACCACGCGGACCCTAACAGTGGGGCTTTCGGTGGAGCTCCCCCTGCGGCCACAACATGTGGCCACGAAGCGTTCGAGGGGTGTGCCGAAATTTGCGCAGTGGCGCCATGCGGATCCGACCTTGCCGTTGGGGCCTTCCGTGGAGCTCCCTGTGGAGCCACGAAACGTATGAGGGGTGTGCCGACATGGATGCGGTGGCGCCATGCGGGCCCTGTCACGGGGGCTTCCAGTGGAGCTCTCTATGGGACCACGAGACGTGTGAGAGGTGTGCCGACATGGGCGCGGTGGCGCCATGCCGACCCTTCCACGGAGGCCTTCGGTAAAGCTCCTTGTGGGGCTACCAAACGTGTGAGGAGTGTGCCGACGTGGGCACAGTGGCGCCATGCTGACCTTGCCGCTCGGGCCTTCGATGAAGTTCCTTATGGGGCCACCAAACGTGGGAGGGGTGCACCGACATGGGCGCGGTGGTGCAGTGCGGACCCTGCTACCAGTGCATTCTGTCGAGCTCCCTATGGGGCCACGGCACGTGTGAGTGGTGTGCCAGCATGGGTGCGGTGGCGTCACGCGGACCTTGCCATTTGGGCCTTCGGAGGAGCTCCCTAAGGGGCCACGAAACGTGGGGTGAGCCGAAATGGGCACGGTTGTGCCATGCGGACCCCGCCGGTGGAGCCTTCGGTGGAGCTCTTTATGTGGCCACGAAACGTTTGAGCGATGTGCCGAAACAGAGACATGCGGAGGGCAGAGACAGAGAGGGGACGAGGGGGGAGGAGGAGGAGGAGGAAGGGCGCGAGGCGCCGCCTCTCCAAAACGAGAACCCAGCGCAATAGGAACGGTTGGGAAGAACTCCCCGTCCTGATCTTTTCAGGACGCGAGCATGTCTGGATCGACTGGTCGAATGCCCCGCGCCCGCGGCGCCAGGCCACCGCGGCGGCTGCCGAGCCAGCCCAGCCACCCGCGCCGCCGCCGCCGCACTTGCCCAAGGCGCGACGGCGCGCGCCGGCGGGCTAGGTTTCGCCGCGATCGACGATCCGGTCGTCGCCGACGACGCCGATGCCGAGCGAGGGAGAGAAGGAGGAGGAGGAGGAGGAGGAGGAGGAGGAGGAGAGGAGGAGGAGGAGGAGGAGGGAGGAGGAGGAGGAGGAGGAGAGGAGGAGGAGGAGGAGGAGGAGGAGGAGGAGGAGGAGGAGGAGGAGGGAGGAGGAGGAGGAGGAGGAGGCGGAGGAGGAGGAGGAGGAGGAGGAGGAGGAGAGGCGTCTTGGCTTCGGGCAGCCCGCGGGACATATGGCAGCCCATCGGCCAGGGACCCCAGCGTGGCCGCGCGGCCGCCATAGCGAGACCACGCCTCGCTCGGCTGCCGCTGGAGCCCGCGCTCGATCGAGCCGCTCGCGAAGCCGCGAGCGGGAGCCAGCCTGGCACAGGCACCTGCGCCGTCGGCGCGGAGCAGCCAGATCACTTCTACGAGTAGCAGCGGCGGCAAACCTGTTACAAGAACATCATTCATCACGGCGCCCTTCAGGCAACGCCCAGATGGAAGCAGGCGGCTGGACGTGCAAGTGTGGCATCAAGTGTGCACCCTGGTCCTGGTCATGCTCGGCATGTGGCGAGCCATGGGATCAGCGAAGGCGTGGCATATCACAGCCCAGGACAGTGCAAGGCAGGCCGCAGTCAAGGCCTCGCTCAAAGGCACGACCGCCCATGAAAGAGCACTATGCCCAGGAGCGTCAGGTCAATCAGCTCATCGGCAGGATACCGCCAGCTTTGCACAGTCTGGCAGTGGCTCATCCTTTCTGGCAGGAGTGGCAACCACCGCAAGACCACACAGGCATCAAGGCCTACAAGGACAAGCTGCGCACCAAGCTCGAGGCGCTGGGCAGCATCTGCCTGGCCACGCAGAAGGCTGGCAAGAGCGACGAGGAAACAAAAACAGAGATGGCGGTCCTCAAACATTGCGCCAACCTTCTCAAGCCGCTCAGCCAGCAGCGCAACGAGGCAGCCCAGCGCATCAACAACGTGGAGATAGCGCTCAAAGGCACCAGGGACCGCCCGGCACTCCTGGAGACCCAGGAGATCGAGCAGATCGAGCAGCTGGACGAGCTAAAGGAAGCCCTCTCGGAGATCGACGAGCGCATCCACCAGGAGATGATGGGCTTGCAGCCCGCGGTGCAGACGGGCGACAGCGGTGCTACAATGCAAGTCGACAACACGGGCCAAGTTCAGCAGATGTACGTGCAGCAGCAGCAGATGCAGGATACCATCTTTCAGCTCCAGAGGGTCATACAGGCCAATGGCATCTCGCTCGGGCCGCAGTTCCAGCCCAGCGCAGCGGGACCGCATCCGACCCCGTGGCCCACAGACGCCACGGGAGCAGCGGCCTTGGCGCAGGCGGCGGCGGCAGCGGCGGCAACGGTGCCGCAGCAGATGAGTGCGCAGCAGCAGGCGCAGCAAGCGTTCATCATGCAGAGGCAGATGGCCTACGAGCACGAGCAGCGCATGCAACGGGAGCAGTACGCCGCCAATCTGCGAGCTGCCATGAATCTAGCATCAGATGGACAGCCCGCTGCGGGACAGCACACAATGGCGCAGCCTGCAGTGCCGAACCAGCCACAGACAGCCAGCCCCATACTGGTGCAGGCCTCAGCGAGCGCACCATCGAGAGGGGCGCCGCCATTCATTACACCAGAGGCGGAGCAGCGGCAGCAGCAGCGGCAGCTGCGCTCGCGGCGAGGGAAGCGGCAGAGGCGCCCACGCTGCTGGCATCACAGACACAGCAGCCACCGCCGCCGCCGAAAGGGGAGCCCCTGTCCTCCCAAGGGTACCCCTCACCCACACAGATGTGGGCGATGCCAGAGACACCAGTCCTCAGCAGCCAGCAGGCACAAGCGCTGATGCCAACACAACCGTGCTCCCCAGGACAAGAGGCTTTCCTTTTCACAGGGCCTCCAATCAGCGTGCTACCAGGAGCACACCTCCAGGGGCACGGGGCAGCGACAGTGGCGGCCTTCTCAGCCATGGGGGCAAGCAAGGGCGATGCAGCAGCTGCAGCAGCAGAAAAGAGGTTGGCAGAGGGCGACCCCAACCCAGCTGCACACAAATCCCAGGCGGTGGTGGAACTACAGGCCGCAGCCATGGAGGACGCGTGCTCGGCGACAGTCATTGCCCCGACACAGAAGGCGTGACCTCGACCCTCAGTGGCTTGGTTGAGGACACATACTACCAGCAGCTGGCAGTGCGACTCAGTACAAGTGCCATTTCATGGGCAGCTGAGGCGGATTGGAGCAGCAAGGAAATTGCGAAGGCCGACTGGCTACTCTGGGGCACACCCTACGCATACACAGCCATCATCAGTCAGCCCGGCCTCAGGGAGTCGGTCTTGGATGACAGAGGCTGCGTCGACACCCGCAGGACGCTCCTGTTGGCAAAGGCCATCTGCAATGACGCTCGGGATAAAGGCGACAGCAGACGGACAGCCGAAGTGCGAGCATTACAAGCGATAAAAGAATTCGACCAGCAGCAGTGGCAGCAGTGCATCCTCCAGGGCTTCGATGCACTCAGGTTGCAGAGACACCGACTTGATGTACTCGCGGGGGGGCAGGGTCATCTCCGCCGCTGTTACCATATCGATCTGGACAGAGCCCCCCTACACTTACCACCACATCAAGTCACTGCTCAAGTATCCCAAGAGCTCAGGGACCAAGGCATGGTCTACCGCCAAGGCACGACGGTCATCTTATGGCAAAAAGCTTTCATAAACCCCATCAGGCGCGCTCACCTGCAACAGCTCGCTCAGGGTGAGTACGAAGAGAACGATGAGACAACAGACCACGTCAGTCTCATGTACAGGGAGCACCATATCTACGAGGACGTGGACGGCTACCACCCGCAGGACACGCGCTACATCACCAACAGCGACTACTGCATCATGGCATACCTCAGCTCCCAGCAACTGCAACAAGTGCCTCGGCTACGTGATGGGCACGTCGGGGTACGGTACGCAGTATGCAGGACTACAGCGGAGGAAGAACGGACTATGATTGACAAATGGATGCTTACGGATCAGCTTGAGGAAGGGATAGACCATTGGGCGGCGGAAGCTGCGGTCTGGTCACCGCCAGAGGCCCAGGCTGACTGGAACATGTGGTGTTTGCCCCTGGTCAACGTGATGCTCAGACAGGGTCCTAGCCTACAAAGGCTCTGGGCCACAGATCATGAACGACGCAATATGACCAAAGATATCTGCGATCGGGCGTGGTACTCAGGACACCAAGCCAGGCAAGAGTTTCTTCGGCAGTATCGCCAGCTCTTCGACACCGATCGAGTACAATGGCTACATCTGGTACGTCAAAGACAACAGCAGCTACGACAAGCACGTCAGCGCCCAGCGGGGATGCAAATCATTGAGATCAGCAGTGGCCAAAGCGTGGATGTTTACAGCGCCAGGCTTGACGTCCTAACGTACAGAAGGATCTTCACAACGTCCTTGCTGCAAATCGGAGACAGGCCCACGCCGATGCTGGAAATGGACCATCCACCCGAAAGCGAGGCTGGCAATCCACTACTACCAGAACTCACGGCCATGGACACGAACCCCGACTTGGAGATACCGCTATTTGGGGAAGAGGTCGGGGCCGAAGTCGGGGACACCGCAAGTGCAGATGACACTGACAACGTGGTGCTCATGCAGACAGCGGCTACCACCAGCATAGCCAACTAGCATATACAGCCCGTCTTGAGCTACTACGTCAACAGGCTAAGAAAGCACCTCCTCCTTAGAGTCAGGACATGGATCAACACGCACAAGTGGCCGCATGATTGGATGAAGTGGTGCGTCCCACACATCCTGGCCGACATGCACGTCTTCCCCATGTACAACCAGATAGCCAGTACGCATGAAGACAAGAGGAAAATGGCCATGGAGATGTGCTGGGAAGCTTGGCATAAAGGTCAAGAAGGCAAGGGGAAGAATATCCGAGACGACGATAAATGTGACTCCACGGACGCCGACGAGGAGCGGTACTACACAGACGAGTTCTACAAAGGAATGGGACGCATTGAAGGTATTGACGCAACTCCGGACCAGGGGCGCGCAATGAAGGCGCGCCCCAGCACCTGGAGCACAGTCCAGCAGAAGGAGCTTCTCAGAGCCCAAACCAGCTGGGCAACACCTGTTGAACCGGAGCCAGAACAGCCACGGCACGAAGAAGTCGAGGCTAAGCGAGCAGAGCTTCGCTACAAGTTATCCACCATTGCACGGGCATGGAGCTTCGAGCAGGCGATGTGGGACACAAATGTGGCATACAGCGACTGGCTCTATTGGTGCATCCCTGCTGTCACAAGCGATCTACTACAAAGCCCAGAGTACAACCACAACCCGCAGGAGGATCTGGCTTCGTTGGCTCAGCAGATATGCAATGAAGCATGGCATTCAGCGCAACCTCACCTCAAGGAAGTTGTACAGCGACTACGGCGTGAGGCGGAAGTTGACAAACGAAGGTATCGAGCTCAGACGCTGCATGGACTACTTCGCCTACGCAGGGCACGAGCACATCTGGCGCTAAGTGCACAGGTCCCAGGGCACGTGGATCTAAAGCGAGATCAACTTCAGCAAGTACTCGATGACTTGGAGCGTCAGGCAGCAGATCGCATGCAGCCAGGACCACCAACTGGCATGACGGCATGGCAAATACTCGCGCAGGATGTACACGATCCTCCACAGGTCTGGCAGCACCTTCTTGTAGCACATCGTGCCCACCAAGCTGTGGAGGGCATCGCAGGGGCGCCTCCAGCCCCACATCAACAACAGGATGGACATGAGGGAGAGGAAGAACAAAACGACGACATCAGCGACGTCACCAGCATGATGCAAATGGATTCTTCTACGCAGATTGTCTGCGACTACATCGATGGCGCGGCCCCCCCTCCAACGAAGGTGGATCAGACGCATCGCTCGGAGCACCCGACAGGGGAGTCTCGCGGTGTCTCAC